AGATGAAAGCAGCGACTGTGGAACATCAGGAAATGTCCTGTGAAACTAAAACTAGCAGCTGGAGGAGCCTAAAAATTAAAAAATGTAAATATGTGAAGGTCAGCAGCTTCAGGTCTGCAGCCAGCAGGGGGCAGAAGCCGCCCGCTGCAACCTCTCTGAGGACTGTTTGAGGTTTTGTGGGTGAATGTCCCATCGCAGCCCCGTGTGGACTGCATTACCCACAATTCCCTGGAGGGTGAGATGAAACCGAAGCAGCAGTGTGACTGAGGGGTTAGTGGTCTGAATGCACACACAGCGCAGCGGGACGTGGCCGCCGCCGAGTGTGTGCGCTGTGATGTATGACAGCTGCTCTGCTGCTGCTTTCATGTGGTGAAGAGTTTTTATTACAGGCACTTCAGTGAGCGAGGAAGAGGAGGAGAAGATGAGCGGGGAGATTAGAGGAGGAGGAAGGCCTCCATCGGCTGGCCTTTTGAGGAGGTTTCCTCTGGTGGGCTTCGGGTTATTAACGCTGATCCTTCATGATCTCACCACCTTTTATTTAATCAGAGTAAATTTCATATCTACCTGCTGGGAAGCATCGACTTAATGAAAATGATTTTATTCCCCACAGTCGGCAGCACAAAGTCAGCGTCTGCTGCTTCAGAACTTCCTAAAGTCCTGGGAAGTTGTTCTACCGGAGTCCTGAAACTTATTTCTTTGATCGTGTGTTAGTGTATCGAGTTTCTGCTCTTCTCTCGTGCTCTGCCATCTGCAGCACAACACAAACATGTTGCACTGCAGTGAAAAAAACCTGACCTGAAGCACATCGATGTAGTTGTTGAAGTCCAGCTCAGTCAGCCAGGCTGTCCCAGCGTCTTTTCACTTTGAACCTGTGAAAAACAAAAGCTGAGCAGACGTGAAGTCGGAGGTGTCCCATCAGCTTTAAGGCGGTGCCCACATCACTCGTGCAGTAACCTGTGAAGAGATGGAGGGGAGCGCGTTCAACTTCTGCACAAGAGAAAACACGTCCATATTTATGTTGGAGGAAGTCTAGCTGCAGTAATATTCATGCTTCATCATTTTGGATTATACACAAGCTGAGCAGAGGTATGGACGTGAATGTAAGAGCCTGTCAGAGGTTAGACGTGTGCGGTTGTGAGCGTGCTGTCAGAGGTTTCTATCAGACTGAAACGTCGCTGTGTTCATGTTGTGTGTTTTTCTTTCAGGGCTTCAAAACCAAAGACGGGCACATCGTTGTGGCTGCGGGCAATGAAAAGCAGTTTGTCCGAGTCTGCCAGGTGAGTCCGTTTACCTGTACGGACACAGACATGCTACCACGGAAACAGCTGGCTTGAAGAATGTTTCTCCCACTCACTCTCTGCTGTCTGTGGAAATCTGCAGGTCATGGAGCTGACGGAGCTGACGGAGGAGCCCAAGTACAAAAGCAACAAGCTGAGAGTCGAGAACCGCAAACAGCTGCTGCACACACTGTCACAGAGGTACACACACACACACACACACACACTGTCACAGAGGTACACACACACACACACACACACTGTCACAGAGGTACACACACACACACACACACACTGTCACAGAGGTACACACACACTGGGAGGTGTCTGTCAGGTGTCTCTTCCTGTTGAAAAAGAGTTCTTCTTCCACGTGGTTGCCAAGTTGTTCACTGTCATCATCATCGGGAGCCCTGAGGTCCTTCATTAGAACAGTGATGAAGAGACAGGACAGTTTGACCAATCAGAACATGTTTTAGGTAAACGTTATCCTCTTCATCTGTCTGTCAGGTTCCTGCAGGAGACCACGGCTGATTGGCTGAAGAAGTTCAAGGGCTCAGGTGTTCCAGTTGGGCCAATCAACAGCATTCAAGAAGTGTTCTCCGAGCCACAGGTCAGTGACGAC